AAAATCGCTCGGCCTATAATTCTACTCGGGAGAGTAAACGTTTTGCGTGCACCGCTGCGTTAAAATATTATAGCGTACGCTACTGCGTTGCTGTGCGTGTGGTGTACGACGCCGGGCATAACGGTTCACTGGACCGCAGCGTTTCCCGGTCTGCGGGTCACGACCCGCCGACGAGTCCCGAGTGGATTTCTGATGGGCCGCGAAAATTGTGTCGAACTGTGTAGATACCCCCCCCCCCAAAAAAAAAAAAAAAATGTACGTTTTTTTAGATTCTGAGTGGAACGAGGAACGTGTTGGTTTTACAATGATGTTTATTTTTTTATTTTGTTTTATCTACGAATGACTTTTCAAGCGCTCACTTCGTCATACACCTCGTTATTAAAAATGCATATAATAAAACTATATTAAACCTATATAGAGAGTAATAAATAAGAAACTACTTTTTGAAACGTGAAACAGTGTGGGTCGCCATAGATTTTCGGGGGAAAATGTGGATCGCGGTCCTAAAAATATCGAGAACCACTGTACTAGAGTAAACCGTATTTCATATTAATTTGTATAAGGTACGAGCGAATAACAATTGAATTTTCTTAATATTTTTTTGCGACGGTATAATATCTGCGCGAAAAGTGGTTGTCTACTATATTATGTCGAATTTGAAACGTCAAAAAAAATGTAAAAAAAAAAACTTCAACCGGGGCATGATTTGGAAATTGAATTGTACAAAATCGAGCCGAGATGAAATGTGTTATATTATGAAATCAGACAGGATCAAATATCGTACTCGTTTTTTTTTTTTTTTCTATCTATCATGTAGTACAAATTAAATATTACCTGGGAAAATGTTGACTTTTATTTATTCAATAATAAAAGAGCACTTCTACAATGACGTACTATAAGACATAAAGCAATTTGCACTTTTTTCTCTGCTTTTCAAGACTAACAAAGTTGACGTGTATCGTAAACGAAAAAGACGGACGTACTCCGCACGATGGGTGGGCCACTGTTATAGGTGGAAAGTTGAGAAGGTATAGGATATTGAGGAGAATTTAATGTATATCTGTACGCAACGAATAATCACTGCTAATGAAAAATGATTCTGAGCGGAGTTCGGTTACTCGTGTTTTAAAAGGCAGTGATATTTACGATTTTCGTTAAAATTTTCGTTTTACCACAAATTATGGCTCACATTTAATCTTCTGTTAAATTTTAAAGCATTTCTGTTTGGTCTAACAGTTTTATTCGCAGAGTACCTACCGAAAAAAGTTATAAAAAAAAACTCTCAAAATTAAAATGGCTATAAATAGCTCAAAAATGGGTAAAATGTTTTGAACATTTTACCACGTCTAGAAAAGCCGAGTATAAGTTTCTCATATATTTTTATCCGAATTACAACGAAAAAAAAAAAAATGAAATTGAAAATAATACATTTCTGAAAAGATATTACACTCGAAAACATTTCAGGTAGAAAAGTTGTTTACAGGTAATAAAAAACAAATAAAAATCATCGTGGAATCGATACCACGCTCGCTTCGTACGGAATCTAAAAGTGGGTGGCGAGTCAAAAAGGTTATAGAGCGGCACGGGGTTCTTGACCGTTTATATCGAACAAAAGACTTCGCCGGGCGGGGCGAGCAATGCGTCGGTTTCGCTATGACGTGTTCGTTTTTTTTTTTTTTTTCGTTTTTTTTTTCCGTGCGTTTTTCCGTCCCGATATCTCGGCCCGACCGAAAACCTCACGCCTTTCGGGAACTTTCTCGTAGCGCCCGTCGGTGTGTCGAGCGGGTCGTTTCTCTCTGGCGGTTTTCTCGACGATCGGGATGTCCCGTATAACGTTTTCGGTCGATTCCCGGGCGCGTCGTCGGGTCGACAAGAACGGCGGGGATGGGGCGGGTGTGTGGGACACGCGACTATATTATTGCAACAGTAACAACAATAATAACAATAATAACGGCAACGACAATAATGACACCACGCCGCTCGTCACAATCGCTTTTTCGCGAGCGACAGTTTGCCGCGCGCGTACCTGAATATCTACGCGCGCACGCGGATATAAATCAAACGACTCTGCCCGCGGAGCCGGCCGGAGGACGCCGGGCGAAAATAATTATAACGCCCACGCTAATAAAACGAATAATAATGAAACCTCGTCGAATGACGGCCGCGTTTATTGTCGGGCGCGCTCGGCCGAGAACGGCCGGCGGCGGCGGCGGTTGATAAATGATATCGTAAAATAATAATAACAATAATAATAATAAAACGCGGTTCCTTCGCGAGCGTACGCCGGCGGCGGACGTAACGTAATAACAATAACAATAACAATGACAATATGAAGTCTGGCTGGCAATAAAGACTCCCCCCGAAGACGCGTCAGTCACGTCACGTCACGCGGGGATATCCAATATCCCGGGCGGTTAGTGTTTCCCGTCGCCGCCGCCGCCGTCATCGTCGTCGTCGTCGTCGTCGGCCAGCGTGTACACACAACAGCCGCCGGACGGAGCAGCGGCGGTCGGAGCGGACGGACGGCCGGCGGAGAAACGAGCCGCGCGCGGGTCGAGAAGGACTCTCGCGTCGCGGCCTCGCCGAGGAGCCGACGAATATTGCGCGGAAATCGCGGGAGTTTATAGCAAGCGCCGACGGGGTTTATTAGTATTTTATTATTATTATTATTATTTCCCCCTCCCCCCGTCCCTGGCTCTCGTACACGTTGAATACAGTTCCGATTTTACGGTACGCAAATCGAACCGGACACCGTTGTACAAATGGCGTTCGATCCGACGAGCTCGCGCTCTCGCGGCTTAATTATTATTTGTTGTTCACTATTGGAAAAGCGGAAAGAAAATTAAAAAAACCCCCGTCAAAACGTTTGAAGAACGCTCCGCACAACTCTTGTTCGCGCGGCCCCGCGGACAATATAGCTCGTAGAAACCTATTAGATTGCCAATTATTATTGTCCTGTATTTACCGACCGTTTCTCCCGGACCCTAACCGAAAAGCGCCGAATGATCGACCAGAAATTCGATTATTTTCATTTTCTCGTCAATACTTTTGGTATTTTTTCTGCGTTTCAATACGGATTTATAGACGCGACGATACAGCAAACAGTCGTAGCCCACACGGGTGCCAAACAGCTGTTTGGGCGGCGAAACGGACGGTTTCGATGTACAGCGACATAGTATTTTCTTACGTTTTTACGTGCACTACAATACTATTTAATGGAACGAATAAAACGCGTGCCACGAATGAAGACGACGTTAACAATAATAATTATTATCGTTAAATTTATTGAAATGGAAAAACCGACACAGGCACAATTCGAACAATCGGGAATTTGTCGATTACTTCACAAATCTTGATTAAGGTTCTTTGTACTGGTTGAAGATCGATTACTAAAATTATCAGGAAAAACGTTGTCAGACTTTAATACGGAATCGCCTCATACGCGGATTGAATAACATAACAGACAATTTCATTAGAACTGGGATTATATTGCAGAAACGATTTATGATGCCAACCAGCTATCAATTTCCGTTTAGGAAAATTAATAAAAATTAACCGACGATCGGCGACTTGCATACAACACTATAATAGACAGCGTGGTGCAAAACATTCGTTATTCTTTTTTTCTTGCTCCCAGCAGGACTGGAAAAACGTCGTTGATCTTGCTAAATTTCGAATATTATAAGGACTAATTTATTTCATTTGCAGTATTATCATCTTGCGGGAACGTGATTGCTGCAACATTACTGCAGAATCACTACATTGAATAATATGTCATTAAATCAACCGGTTGTTATTTAATGTTTTTTAAATAATACTGTATTTAATATTAGGCGGACACTTGACTAAGTATGAACAGCTAGCGTACCAATACATACAGTAAACTGTATACACATAATATGTAAACTGCACACGTGCGAAACAGGGTAATACAGCTATAAGTAGTAGTGACGTATTGCGAAAAGAAACTGATTTTACGATGTACGAACCGACGTCAAACGTTTTTTTCGGAACGTGCGCGTAATAGGAGCGGACTATCGTACAAAAAAAAAAAAAAATAGCGGATCATCGTGCAATCGGTCAATGTATAAACGTTTGGTTCATCCGTCGTTCTAAGGGAGCAGAAGGGGAGGGGAGGCGAATTATTCAGAGAGCGATACGAGATAACCAATAGACTCGGCGTTTTAAAACTCTGTGGAAATAAACGTGACTAATACGCGAATTCGGATCACTGGCGGTAGGAACAAACGTATTCGGTTAGCGAACGATAAAAACGTTACAATATTTTGGCGGCGGGACGAACGAAACAAATTATAACACGACAACGCGTTAATTAATTTATCAATTTGTGAACGGAGCGATTGAACACAGCCGGACCGAAATCGAAGCCGGTCGAATAGCAGACGAACACCGCCTGCCCAGTGGACATGCTCTTCGGTGGACGCATCTTTGCTAAGCCTCTGTAGTCCTAGAGCGCCGTGTCTATGGAGACCAGCAGGACTATAGGGGTTTTTAAATACGCACCCCGGATGAAGACGACGACGTTCGACCAATCGAAAGAACCCTCTGCCCCCGCGCAACGTAAAGGTTGGTAACACTGGGTCGGCGCCGGCCTGAGAACTACGGCCGATACGAGAACGGTCACACTGGCTTTATTATTATTATATTATTACGTCGGGCGCGCGAGTAACGCTCGTTATTTTATCGTCGGAAAGCCGTCGCGTGTTTTCGAGTGCGTGCGTAATGAACATATTATTATTATCGTTATAACGTTTACGTTGCCGTTTGTCGTATTCGCCAAGTGGACACGCGTTGTAGTAGTGTGCATAAAATATTAATAATAAATCGATTAAAGTGTTGTCGAATGATGATCGTCCGTCGAGAAGGCGATAAACACAGCAATCGGTGGTGACGGCAAAAGTATCACTGTCTATAGTAGCCCATTGCGGTGGCATTGTCACGGAAATGAAATCGTTTTTATTTTCATTCGGACGGCAGGTTAGGTACCGCGTTTACCGGCAGGCGCGTACTGGATTCTCTTTTGTTACCGGAGAAATTATTAAACAGGACCCACTAATAAAATATAGAAATGACGAACGTTCTTCGTGTACCAGCCTACCTAATCAGCTACCAAGTAGTCTGTCTAAATCGCCACCCTTCTTTTATTGGATGGTTGGTGGTAGATCCGTGTTGAGTGTCCGATGAGCCGTACATTTTAACGAATTGGTACACACGGAATATTAATTATAATTCACACTTGTAATTCAGCATCACCCGTTTAAAATAAAATTAATCAATTACGATTTTTGTATGGGAGTTTGTTCCAAGTCGTTTTCTAAAGCGGTGTCACACTCATCAGCGTCATCAACATTTTTAATTTCGCTACAGTAATACAATTTCTGAACTTATTTAGCATAATCGTGAGTTCATTATTAAATGATGCCTTCTCACATCACAGTTTTCGTGTAAATATATATTTTTATGTTAGTTCTAAATAATTAGACAAATATGTATTATGTACCCTACGCGTAATACACATAATAATTGTCCCCCTTGGGCAATACCCCTTTACGGGGGACCCGGGTGAAGTATGGCACCCAAGCCGAAAGCCTTCAGGAGATCGAGGAGATCATTTTTTGATTTCCCTTACGGTTTTCTTAATAATTGTTGTATCATGATAATTTTAACTCCGGGGCTGCTAAATGTTTTAATCCGAGCCTGTCCTTCGGCATAGATCGTGCGTAACAAATAATGAAAAAAAAGAATCATATAATATCATAATGTGTATTGTCGGCACAGAACCTTGTAAGTAGATTTTAACAAATTTAACAGGAGCAGCGAAACACTGTGACAGACTTTTGAAAACAAATGAAAATTTCGACTTTTGAAGTTTTGCCCGATAACCGACGGTATTATGAAGAGAATGATAATATATTTTCCCTTGTATCGTTATCCGCCCGTTTTGATTTTACTTCGGACCCGAAGAAATCCGACACGGTAATTTTTTCGAGAGACGCATCACATCACGTTGACGTAGGTACACCGAAATGTCGTCGTCGGATGTTTTTGCAGTACAATAGGTATATTTATTGTTATTCCACGGTAAAACGATATTTAGTTATCATCGTCGTTTGTATGTTTCTGGGAGCGCGGCATGCATGGCGAATGCAAATAACGTGATATCGTGATTTAGTGAATAGAGAGGTTTTTTTTTTCAAATTAATATTTATACACCGAGCAAAATTTCGATTTTTATTGTTATTTACGTTAACTCGTAAGCAATCGGTATATATTTTAATACCACGGATGTACACATTTTTTCTTCTCACTGAAAACAAAAAATAGACTGCCGATTTGACGAATTATTACTATGTGTTTCACATAATATTATAATATGCATATAATATTAATAATATTACGTGTATACCGAAGTTCGAAATGAGCTTTAATCGATGGTTCGGCTTGGAATATATTTTAATCGCGAATAATATCATAATAATAATAATAATAATATAATATACTCTACTCGATATTATATCGTGTTCGAAAATCGGGATTTAAAACAACCGAGAAAAATATGTATAATATTATACCCCTATATTGTAATACGTATTCGCGTATCCGGATAATATGTGTGCCCACATGCATAATTCAAATAATCCGTGAATATTTTATTCCGTACACGCTGTACATCTTCTGGACCGTATTCCGTATACCTACTGTGCATACACATAACGTGCACTGCTGATGCAACTACTGAAAAACAACTATACATAGGGGAAATTGTACGTACGCAGGAAAATGTAAATTATGCGCCTTAGGAGAGCACGATAATATTACTTATATTGTTCACTTGTAAAATATTTGTTTCTATTTAAATGCAATAATGTGCGACTGTACACCGGATGCCCGTGTATACGCATACATGCGCCTCTCGGACTGTGTCGAATATCCACGCAATTTCGTATACGGCCGGCTACGGACTGGCGCGGTTTCGGTTTCGCTATGTAGGCGATTATTATGAAATGTTAATGTTGCGTCTCTATATATTACAATATGCGTATACGTACCGAACGAACAAATTTGCATTCAAAACCAATTACTAAAATTGAAAACTTTATTTTTTTTAAAAAAGTTTTTACCCCCCCCCCCTTTCGAGCATAAATATTGTTTAGCTGCACCAGTATACCGAGTAAAATTTTATACGCCGAACGTGAAAATAGTGAATCATTATAATGCATATTATTTTTAAAAAAAAAACGGAAGAATACTGCACGATATTTCAATAATTATGTATTACCTATACGATGGTTGTTTTTTTTTCTTTTTCAAATTCTGTTATCGATTACAATTGGGTATTTTTTCATACGGAAACTGAACGCGATTGTTAAAACAATACTACTATAAAATAGTACTCGTAGGCATAGCCCATGTCAGAAATATCGTCCGATTTGTAGGCGAGGAGAGCGCCGCGATTTGTGATCTCGTTCGAGTACTTAAAATTCAACAAAATTCTAAAACAAAAAAAACCCTAAACATATTTTAAGTATTTGTCAGTGTTTTAAACGTACATTTTGTAATATAATGATTTCTGAACAAGGCCATCCTAATGATGCAGCGGGGAGGGGGGGGGGGTGTTTCCTCTCCTCAAAGTGTAAAGTTTGAATTTCATTCGACATTTTTTTTTTTATTTGTATTTTTTTTTCTGTTATAATCTTCTACAGTTACCGAGCGGCACCAATCATACAATTTTTTAGTCAATTAAATATTTCAACCGTGCGTGTCTTGGAAAATAAGATTATCATCGATTTAATATAAACTACCAAGTGGTAACCCGTCAAACAGACGGAGAAAAGTATGGGGAGGATAAGGTATATTTTATTAGCCTAACACCGCCCGATAGACGACATTTAATGTAGTTGTGCCAGACAGAGTTGTTTCAATTTTTAAAAGAAGTTGTTTGGGACATGACAACATATAATTGCCGATAACTGAAAACGGGTTCAGATAAATATACACCGACCTCGTTGAAAGTTTGGCCTTGAGCTTTTTATCGATAGTCGTGCGGAAGGCTATTCAAATTGGAAATTTTCGTCGTTTAAAAGAAAAAGGTAAAGATGTATCGTAAAGTGTTAGATTTAATCTGGGTAGTAAAACTCACAATTTGATTTCCACTTTTTCTCCTGTAACAATTTCCAAATCCAGTGACTTCAAATCGATTGCCATCCATTACTTCAGGGCGATTGTTTTAAGTTTCGGAGCACTTAGTGTTTAAATATATATTATAGATAATAGAATAACAATAATAGAACAAAAAGTTCTGTTCGAAAATTTTCTTTTTCGTTAGACTCGCGGTTACAATACGATAACACCATTTATATCAAAATCAGGGGGTGGGAAGGGGGAGGTGGCATTAATATGTACATTATCTACCTACTATTTTTTTTTTTTTAAACAATGAAATACGCTGAACAAATGTGCTATGACGCTGGTGTCCGTTGTTCAGAGGAGGTTTATTCGGCGTTTAAAGTGCCCAGTTCCGTTTCCATTGACTACGCGGCACGCGCTTCCGGCGTCGCGCTAAACGCCAAACAATAAACACGCAGCCAGCTACAGCCCGCAGATCAGAAAATAAGTTATTTTCGTTTCATACAATTCGATTGTGAATGGTAACGTTTCGAGTTTTCACGAAGTTAGGTAATGTCGTGTCGCGATACGCACGATGGCGATGAAACGCAAGTTACGTAGAGGTGTCAATGTCGCAATAAAATAATATCGTTTCGTTTCGCCGCGTGCTCCATTGACACTTCTTGCGAATTAATCATGTTTCGTAATACCGACAAGACGGTTTACCTATAGTCTCATAGTACTATCTATGAACTGCGGCAGTAGTATCAGGTATATATTTTGATTCATTAAAAAGAATTAACTCGTGTTGAGTTATCGACGGCTGCATCCGAGTCCCCGACCCGGTGTACGCTCGTTTTAATACCGATTCCGTACCGGTAAAAAAAAAAAAAAAAAGGGGATATACCGATTCCGTCTCTAACAACAAGAAGGTTCACTACAATATCACAATGTTATACCATGCCAGTACACTTTACCTACGTATTAATGTACGTTGAACGTGAATATTGTTTTTTGATTCTTTGCGAAAACAAAATGTATGTTCATTTTTAACGATTAAAATTTCACATTGTTCGCATTGTATCCATTTCTATTATAATAAAAATTATAGCACAGCGACGACTGAAGATTTCGCGAAATCGACCGTATCTCCATTTCTGAATAACACTTGTTACGTTGTTATTGATATTGGTATCGCAGTCGTGCGTTTCGTGTAAATCTAGGTTTTGGGTCTGACCGATTGATTTGAGATTAAACGTATAAAATATATATTTTATAAATAACGCGAAATGTAAACGGGACGAAATCCGTACATTATCACTTGAAAAACTCTGGGCGGAATTCTAGATACGCCTCTAAATTAAATGTTTATACCCGGGATCGAACTCGGGCGCAGCCGGAGTCACGGGAACAATCTATTTTCGAAAACGACAAAGTGCAACAATAGAACAGCACCGGTGGTAATTAAATTCGGGTACGCGAATCGGCGGCACTGGCGGCCAACGGCGGAGTTCGGATATTTCCCAGACAGCATATCCGCAACGTTAATATTAATATTAATATCAATTTTCGACCGAAAATAAAAAAAAAAAAAAAAACAACGATATCGTTGAACAAATATTGATAGTAAATCAAATAAATATTTCGTAAAATAATAACGCGAATATATTATTAGTAAAAAATTTTTTAAATGATATTTTGAATTCGATTTGATATTTCGACCGTAAACACAATGGCAATTAATAGTAATAACAATAAATTAATTATTGTAAACATATTACTCAATACACCATAAGACTAAATTGGTACTGGTTATTATATGCGAACGTATGCACAAGCGTACTGTGAGCGAACCAGACGAATAATTAATGTTGGACCGAACATAATAAAATGTTTATTATTATTATTATTATTATTCTCACGTTCCTGTAGTTACGTTAATATATTATTTCGAATGATGAAAATTCACGGTAACGATTAATTATAACCGTGGTTGTGGTTGTGCGGCTACGTGGCTCAACGGTGTCAACGAACACGATAAGACCTAGGGGATCACGTATAAATCGTAATAAATATGAAATCCCAGTTACTCCGTATAAATCGCGTTGTCAAGTAGGGAAAATCTGCAGGTTCTGTAGATCCGGACACGACGAACCCCCGCCTGGTGCTCGCGTAGACTATGTACGTATGTAGGAATAGGAACACCCGCATTCGAAAGTTTTTTTTTTTTTTTTTTCACTTTTCGATAATATTGTCAAATACACTTACATATTATACTGACTGCGGGCTGCCGTTGTACACTGACGAGTAACGCATGACGTGCGGAAGTATAGCTAAGTCAGTATTAAGAAATGGTCGCAATTTTTTTTTAAGTATTCGTGTAAAATCAAACACTTTTATATTAAATTTACAAATAATCCGGGACGAAGGCACTCGCTACATACATACCTCCAGACTCGTCCGATAAGGCATCATGGGCCGTTCCTGTTTGTACGCTGATACGGAACGCGCTCATTGTGGCCACTATTTGGCAATAACATTTTGTTACCGTTCGGATAAATATGTACGATTCGTTAACGGTGCTAATGTAGGTTACTCGTAGTAGATTAGATAAAAAGCGAATGCGCGAGGACTGAAATTTTCTAATCGTACCTGAAATGTCTGTCGAACGACGTATGACAATCCGTATGCCGGTCAGTATAACGCTAGACGGTCAACTCAATGTGTTTGGTGCTCGCGGACAGCTCGTCCAGTACAACGGTGTAATATACAGCCGTTACTCGTAAACTATACTCCCATTTCCGATTATAGGCGGAGGGGAACAGGCCCGTGGTCAGATGGATTTCTTAGAGGGAGGGGGAATTTAAAAAAAAAAACGAACAATATTACGAATCTTTACTTTTATAACGCTCCCACCGGTGAGCATCGGCATCTATAACGTTACGACGGAGGCCGAATCACCAACGAAAACCGGTGCACGCGTCTTTGCGTTTTTCGACAATAATCTTATCGGCGATCTTTGGTAACCCTCTGTGTAGGAAATCGCGGTGTCCTATATATCAGGCGTGTATACGCCATTTTGAACGAATCGCTATTCACGTTCCTGCTTGAATTTGAATTCAATATAAATTCGTCGATGGATTTCTTCGTTTCGGCATTTCAGGCGGGGCACGCGCGAGCCGCCACTCGCTACAGGCCGCCGTTATCCGCAGGTCCCGCCCCTCCCGTCCTCTCACCGTCAAATCAAGTCTCCGGAGCCTCCGGTCCGCAGACGCGCGCGTTTAAAAACGCGATAAACCCGATACCGGACGCATTGTAATATTACGCGTGCACGCGCGTCGTGTGTCGTCCGCGGGAGCCGCCGGGTCACGCAGGCCGCCGGGTGTTATTATTAGTTGACGAAAACAGATCGCCGGCGAGAGACGCGACTTCGCCGAGTGATTTGCATAACGTAATGCCCGCCGTAATGCACGTGTACCGAGTCCTCCGAACGAGTTGTCACGATATTGCGATGCGCCTGCATTTATAATACATAATTTATACATCGCGAGGGTTTACCCGCGACGGGGGTCGGTGGCGGAGACACTGCACACGCGTGCGTTTGCGTACGCGCGGATCCGGGGACTCGGGAATATTCGACTCCGGTGCCGTCAACGGGCGGCGGAAATTCCGCCAGTGCGAGCGGAAAGAGGAAGAAAATGAAAGGACGCATTGTTATACTGCATTCGCAACGTGTTGCGTTTTAGAACGGATTTTGATACGCGGTAAAGCGCTAAAAAAAAAAAAAACAAAAAAAAACAAATTCCGAGTGCCGAACGGTGTTGATACGTTTTTAGATTCTGAGCAGAGAGAAATGTATTTTTTGGTTTTACGATGACGATGATTATTATTATTATTTTTTTTTTTCCCGTAGATTGAAAAAAAGCTGGGAAAAAAGGTAAAAAAAAAAAAACGGGAAAACGGTAAAATAGGTACAATATTCAACGAATATTTTTAAAAAAAATACACAATGCATATGTAATTATTTTACCATAATATGATATATATATATATATTGTTGACAAAGTTACATTATTAACCGAAACTCCGCTCAGAATCGTTTTTCGTTAGCAATGGTTAATCGGTGATTAAAGATATGCATTAAATTTCCATTCTATCTTCCCAACTTCGCACCTGAAGGTGGCCCACTCACCGTGCGAAGTATGTCCGTATTTTTTTTTTCTTAATTTTGTTTGACAGTGACGCACGTTACCGCGGGTGAAAAATCTGAATATTTTGTAGTATTAAACGATACCTACGGGTAAGTTAATTTTCGAACGTTTTTAATAACCGTAAAATAGTTTTCCGTGGAAATAAAAGTAAATCCGTCGTCGCGCGTTAGTATCAACACTTAATATAAAACTCCACTTTGAATATAACGCCAAAGGACATTTCCGAAACACGTATAGCGGCCGGGACTGCACGCTAAAGGTCGAGAAATCTTGTAGATTTTTATTTTCGCACGACAGTCATATCTATATCTATTAGATTACAATATTGCGCGAGTAATTTATCGGGTGTATACAATGATGTATTTAAGGGGGCTAGAGGGGGTGATCGCCCCGGAGGCGTTTTTACAGGAGCGGCCTCAAATATTTACATAACCCATCTTCTGTTAATGAAAATGAAAAATAATATCAATTGGTTAATATTCTAAGATCGTAACAACTGGCACCACAGCTATAGATTACGGACATGATTTGAAGGACTTGAACACATGCAAGTGTACCCGTACGTAAATATTGCTCTAACAATGTATGTGTGTTGTCCCGTGTCAAACTGCTCTTCAGAGCGATCATTTAGTGTAGTGAAACGAATTAATAGTTATTTGCGGTCGAGGATGACTGATGAACGACTAAACATTATCGCCACATTAAACATCGAATCAGACATTACAAAAAGTTTAGAGTATGACGACACAATCAATGAGTTTAGTTCCTTTAAAGCTTGAAAAAAAAAAAAAAAATGTAAATTGTAAATATTTATTGTTTTGTAATTATTGCGAGTAATAACTAAACCTGTTTTATATTATTTGGTCTATTTAGTTTATTGTTAGTTTGAAATCTTCTTTTACTGACTTTTGTTCTGAAAAGGATAACGATAACGGGCGGTGACCGGAAAATAAGCTCCGACGCGCTCGGTAGACGGAAAAAGTCAAATAATTTTTTTTTTTTTTGTGTGGCGGTGGTAGAAAGACATTAGCACCCGGACGCCGAATTTCTGAATACTTCTCTGGATGTATACGATATCCTACACTTTGCGCAATATATTATTGTACACGAGACTTATTTATGTCCGTCGGCGTAAACTATCGTCCGGTCGTTTTTTTTTTCTCCGCGATTTCTAGAATTTTTTCGTTCATTCATTCAATACACCGGTACCCGTGTCATACCCGCGTTCAAAACTCTCTATACATTAATTGTCCGCGGTAATTCCCCCCCCCTCTTTTTAATTTTATTTGTTTTATTTATTTGTTGAGTCGCGTCTGCGGGTATCGTCGGTTTAGTTTTATCGCTCCGTTCAGAGCCGCCGTCAAGCGGAGCCCTAACCTCCCGCAGCCTCCCGATTTATCGTCGGCAATTCGACTGTTTTAATATTAACACTCGTCGTGTACTATAGAAAAAACCGTGGACTATGCGACGATTAATATTTCCAAAGTGCACTGAAGTAGTAAAATATTATAATTAGTAGGGTTTTCTAAATTTATCGTTTGGTTCTATTACTGGATGGCCTCCCTTCTCATAAGTGTGATGTTGTGTGTTTTTTTCTTCTCTTTTTTGTACAGATAAT